CCCCCCCCCCCCCCCCGGCCAAGCTGGGGATCCGGAGAGAAATTTTTTTGAAATTTTAACTCCATTTGGACGCATTTTGAGGCTTCCGTGGTGAAAATTTTATAGAAAATACTAACTGAATGAACACGGTGTATTCATTCTATAAGACTCTACGATTCTACATAAAAAGAGATGATCATCCTCAACAAAGGTTTTTTTCCTGCAACGTCCAAAATTTGGAGGGGGGCAGCTGAAACTATTTTCAATTCTAGGAGAGGGGCAGGCCCTCCCTGGACCCCCCTTCGCACGCCCATGGGAATTAATGTTGTTAATACCAAAAAAACAAAAATAGATTTTTGTACAAAATTTCGGCCCAATCCCAAAAAACTCTCTGATTATTTTTTTAAGAACAAATTATACCAAAAACATACGATAGCTCTGCCGTTTGANGTAGACCCTGTTAGCGGCACTTTTCCGCCGCTAGAACGCAGTCTGTGATCACTTATTCATTCGGAGTGTTTTGTTTACCGTCTAGTGCACGATGGCCGGGTTGTCCGGATTTTGAACTTCATTAAAAGATAATTTCTCTTGTTTTTATCTGCTGAATTAAATTTTGGCAATTTGAAATTCTCATTACCGTATACCTACTTTTTTCTGTCAAGGAATGAATGAAATATTAAAGTAGTGCATGATTTATATTGCATACTAAGACCTAACCTCAATTTGAAAATTACAGCGGAATCCACCAATGCAACTAGATTATACACCGACTTTCATCATAAATTATCATTACCGTAGCCATCATTACCGTAGCCTCTTTCCAAAAGGAGTGGGGTCTACGGTAAATGAAAAAATATTTTTAGTGCATATTATTCGTGACTACTACTAAATCATGCCTTTAGAGGGTATAAAGACCTTAAAAAAAAATATAGGAATGCCATTTGAGGACTTTCACTTTTAAAATCTCGGCTACCCCAAAAGTAAAAAGTTATTTGAACTTTGCCGCCCATGGGAATTAATGTTGTTAATATAGCATCGCGTGATATTAAATCAGTGACCGCTTCCAACTCTGGCAACGCTACTTGAAAAGGTGCTGGTGGGGTCAAAGGCTCACATTTACATGAGTTTTGTCTCGCGGTGATTGCATTAGGCAGCATTGCAACGGTTTCCTCTTCATCGTGGTGATTGGCTTTTTGCAATGCTGCCAAATACAATAAGTAAAAAAATCCCCTACAATCATATTAAGAAAGAAACGTGGAATAATTAACCGCAAATTGATGTAAACCAGTAAGTTAAATTTTGACTTTTTGTGCTTATTACCACTTGTTAATGTGTTATACGCGTTATTTTCCCTAGAAAATCTTCAATCGCAGATACCACAGGTCATCGGGTAAATCTCTGTAGTGATGACCTAAAATTTTGCAATGTTACTCAGATTGTTTTACTTGGTGTATCATTTGAGACTGAACGATTTGGAGGCCCTATGAATTTACATCTTCCAAAATGGCCTGTTTTTGTTTGTTGCTTTTCTATAAAAACAATGTACGTTTATGTTCCTATAAGTTGTCAAAATTATATTTGAACCTCCATACTCTTAAAATTACACCAAGCTTATGTAGCGTTTCTCGAAAGAATGGTTCAATTATCATTTCTGACGCGAAAAATAGTACACCTTTGCAAATTGACTTACGCGTACCATCAAGTTGAAAATAACAAATGCCAACATAAAATAGCGGATTGAATTTAACATTAATAATAGTATTTATGTAAGTATAGAGCTTATCAAAATGAATGAATACTATAAAAAGTTAATTGCGTATTTACAGTTTTACAGCAGTTGTATCTACCTATGAGGCTCACTTTCTATATTTACAGTTTGGAGTAGGAAGAAGTGACTAGAATGATGAAAAAATACAAGTGTCAGCACAAGATGGGCGCCTATTTTTATGCTAGACGCAATAACAAATGAGTTTGGAGACTTTATTCAGAGAGGACACAAGCTCAAGAAATAAGTCGAGTCATAAATGCACATTTTTAGGTATTGCAACGAATGAAGCGGTTACACCCACGTTATACGATATTAGTGATCATTCCGCAGTTTGATCCGAATCATTCTTATCTAATTTGCGGTAAAATAGGGGGGAAAAGAAAGAAAAATTTGGTTCAAATAACGTCCTCCTAAAACAGATCTCCACCCGAAGAACAAAGTTTCGAGTCTCTAAGTACTACCACAAAGGTAGGAGGTCGGATTGTGGATCATCGGCAAGTAAGGTGAGTAGCATCAAGCAAAAGGTATCAAGGTTTGGAAAATCGAAAACCTTGGAGTTCGTTCGTGAAAAACGATAGGCAGAATAAACAGACTCTCTGAAAATGATTATCAGTCCAAGATTTGAATTTTACCGAATATTGCGGCACCAAATCTTTAAATCAATAGGAGGATTGGTTAATTATTAAATTGAGTTTCCACCAATTTTAAACATTCCATGACCCTTAAAGCCTATCAGATAGGTTTCCAAAATGCCATCACATGAAATGTTACATCTCATGACATATGCTAATAGAATGACCCATAGAGAGACCTGCACTGAAAAAAATTCTCGGCGTTTTTACCAAGGTCCGTTGGTACCTTTACCATCTCACTTTTTTTTACCAATTATCGGTAATTTTACCAAGACAGACTGGTAAGCATACCTAAGAACCGGCATTTTTACTGTTTTTTTTTCAGGTAAGAATACCACTTTTATTGGTAATCAATGCCCGGTAACATTGCCATTTTATCTCGGTAATTCTACCACAGTCGATAAAAAATATCGGCGTTTTTACCAAGGCCCGGTAAAATTACCGAGAAAGTTCAATAATTTTACCGAGATAAGTAAAATTACCAATTCCATAAATGGTAATTCTACCGAGAAAAAATTGGGATCAAACAGAACCCTGAATTCTTGGTAATTTAACCTTCTCTTAGTGGATACACCGAGATTTTTTATTCAGTGTGACGTAGCCAATACCCGGGGCGATTAAACAAGACTGGGGAGTGGAGGTCGCGAGGCAACCGGGCTCGTCGTGGATTGTATGGCGTGGAGAGTCGGGTGATGGTGGTGGAAGTAGAGGGACGAGTAGGTGGAGGTGGGCGGCGAGGTGCTGAGGTGGAGAGCACCGGGACCGCTGGAGGTCGTGATGGGCTGCATGATTGAGTGCGCGCTGGAGGTGACCGGCTGTATGATGGAGTGGAGCTGCGTGGAGGCGGCGAGTCCGGTGCCGGGGCTGGTGGCGCTGGGCGCGGACTCGTGGTAGAGGATCGGGACGCGGACAAGGCGCTGGGCGGCGTGCGCCATGTTGGCCGCCTCCAACTCCGCGGCCAGCTGCCGCTTCCACTTGTTCCGCCGGTTCTGGAACCAGATCTTCACCTGCGTCTCCGTCAGATGCAAGGAGGCGGCCAGCCCGGCTCTCTCCGAGCTCGACAGGTAGCGTTTCATGTCGAACGTCGACTCCAGCTGGAACACCTACGGACAGAGCATTATGACTTAGTTGTGGTGGACAATCTCCAGTGAGCAATCACTTTCAATCAAAGCATGACAATATCGAGATGGCCTTTCGACATTGCCTGACTCTAGTTGCGAGAGAACCCAAACACGCAATTTGGCCTGGAGTGGCGCGGCGCAGAGAGCAATGATAACGAGGACTTGAGATGATAAGAGAGGCCATCGGCGCGGCGGTCGGCATGTAACACATATTAGCGCCTACAAGACTGCATGAATACTTCACACATAGCGTCAAATACAGTGCGGTCAGCAGCGGTCGCCGCGCCGCGTAACGCATAGCGCCTACAAAACTGCATGAATACTTCACGCGTTGCGTCAAACACAGTGCGTTCAGCGGCGGTCGGCGCGAAAGGCAGAGCGCCTACTGGAGTGTAGGGATTCTTCGCGCATTGCGCGAAACAAAGTGTGATCAGCACGGCGCGGCGGTGGAAGTTAAAATTATTGAACCACATTTATGATTGTTCTTTCATAATTTTTTCGTTCATTTCTTATTAATGGAAGGCATTGTCCACGCAGAGACAGGCTCACAAAACTTAACTTTCGCGCCAAATTCCTTGAATTTTTGCTAGTAGTGTTGACAGGGCTTCCGTAAAAAATGTATCCAACACGAGTAAACGCGTCTTATGCATCCCTCTCCCTCCGGCACGTTCATTTGACGGTTTTTATTGATGTTTCAAAACGAATGAGATGGGGGCGGCAAAATACAGGCGGCCCATGGGCGGCAAGTAGGTAGATCCGGCCCTGTCACCCCCCTATTACTGAAAAAAAATTCTCGGCGTTTGTACCACGGTCCGTTGTTACCTTTGCCATCTCACTTTTTTTACCAATTATTGGTAATTTTACCAAGACAGACTGGTAAGCTTACCTAAAAACCGGTAAGTTTACTGTTTTTTCAGGTAAGAATACCACTTTTATTGGTAATCAATTCCCAGTAACTTTGCCATTTTATCTTGGTAATTCTACCACAGCCGATAAAAACTAATGGCGTTTTTACCGAGGTCCAGTAAAATTACCGAGAAAGTCAATAATTTTACCGAGATTTCTTGGTAAAATTACCAATTCCATAAATGGTAAGTTTACCAAGAAAAAACTGGGATCAAATAGAACCCTGAATTCTTGGTATTTTTACCCTTTTCTTAGTAAATACACCGAGATTTTTTTTTCAGTGTACTAATTTTTAGATGAATGTGCCTACCTGACTCCGCGAGAAGACGGTTCGGGTTTTCTTCTTCCTCTTGCTGCTGTTGAGATTGTTGTTCTTGCTATCATCACCCTCCTCCTCGTCGCAATCGTCAGCATCTTCGTCAGCCATGCCACTGTCTTCCAGTGCCCGCTTGCTGAAGACCATCCGCCTCTGCTGCGGACTGAACCCGCTTAAGCTCCGCGCTAGGAAGTTGCTCGAGTTCTGGCTGAGGTACGGCGTCCCGCCTCCCCCTCCTCCGCCTCCGCCGCCTCCGCTCTCGGAGTGCTTGAGCGGGGAGCCGGGTCGGAAGAGGGCGCCGCCCGACGGGGACTTGGAGCCCTCGCGCGCCTCCTTCGTGTCGGTGCCCTTCTCGCTGGAGGCGTCTTTCGCGGCCGCCGCGTCGGCTGCGCTCAGACTCTGCGGCGAGCACGGCCTGCTCGCGTCCTCGTTCGTCGTTACCGAGCCACCTGCGAACAAACGACAGGAAGACATTTCAGAATACAGTTGGACTGCATTTTGCAATTTGGAACTATAAATTCTGGCTCTTCTGGAAAAACACTTTTGTGCATAGGGAAACTAATGGCACATACGTTGTTTTTAAACCGGGCTAGAATCTATAGGTCCAAATTGCAAAATGTAGTCCAGTTGGAGTAGAGTAGGTGTGGATAACAACCGATTATTGAAATTGATAGACAAAGCTACAGACAAAGAGGAGAAATGGATACAAATTTTTATAGAGCAGCCCGAGACAACGTTAACAGAAGAAAAACAAGGGGGGGGGGCGGGAAACAAGGTTAAAATACACAATTAAAAGAGCCGAGAGGTTTCGACTCAAAACTGAGTCATTTTCAGTCGGAAATGGTACGATAAAATGTTTTAAAAAAACGATAAAAACCTGAGCCCTACATGGTGGTGGCCGGGATCTGAAAAAAATAACCATCAAAGAAGAGATAGGGATATAGTGGGATTCTATTGGTGGAAGTGGATGGTTGGTATCTAGCAAGATCCTTCAAGTTTTCTGGAGGGGAAAAGTGTATTTGCGATGGAAACAGGCCGCGAGAGATTATTGAAATGACCCGAAGATGCTATAAATTGTGTGTAGGATTCAAACCCTTACGTATTCAATCCAATATGGGGTAAGACATGAGCAAAAACTCTGACTTTAAATCTGAGAGAGCATAATTATTATTCAGGTCTGATTATTGATCATCGACACTCGACATAAGCAAGTAGAGCTTCATGACAAAGATGGATCGTAATGAAATATTTCAGGGACAGACTGGGTTCCACGGAGCTTGTGTGACGGTAGAAGAGAAGGGATGATTACGCCTTCAATCAGGAATGATACCAACCCACGCCACCAAGTAAAAAGGGTCGGATCATGTATCATCACGTACTTGGGTGCGTTCAACGCCCACTGACAAGGCTGCCTAAGTTAGGATTTTCAAGATATTTTCAGGCATGCATGATAAACCAATATCAACCTATAGATAACCTATCGATAGATGGTTGAATTATTGAAATTTATCGACAAAGCGATAGACAAAGAAGTCAAACTGAAAATATAGCGATCCTATTGGTTGCTAAGGACAAAGGAGGTAAGTAAAAGACAAACTAACAGCAACCTCATGAGACCATATTTAGTCTATCATTTTCCTCCTTCGTCTATAGGAGCCACCAATTTCAACCAATAGAATCGCTCCATATACTCCTTCTTTGTCTCAAGCTTTGTCTATCAATTTCAATAATCAGCCCGCAGGTTTGATTTGACATTTTCAGGCGTGTCCAACGAAAAAATTTCCGTGGAACATTTTCCTACGCTAACAGTATCATCAATAACTCAATTTTGAGTTTCAGTTAACTTCAGTCCTTTTTCTAAGCGCAGTCATGTACGTAAAGAAAGATGCTTCTTCGCTTGAATTGAGCATTGACGGTTTCCTGTCGCCGAGACGGTGTGGCGTCTTCAAAAGAAACCGTGTACAGGACTATTCTAAGCACTTTTCGAGGTGTGGAACCATCATGCGAAGTTCTGTCGACAGGGAAGCTCGCGGCTTCGAGGCTTCTGAACTCGACGTTTGGGGAGGGGGGGGGAAGGCGGTTGGATTACGCGAGAGAGGCAAGTTAAGCGTTAACGATTTTATCGATTTGGCCCAACTTGAGGGAAGCGTTAAATCTTGCGCTCTATAATCTCTGCCGTGCGTTGCCACGCGTTTATAGTGAAAAACTGTGGATGTTGACTTAAAAAATAGGAATGAACAATTTTCATCGCTGTCAATGGAACGATGGCAGGAGAGACTTTCAGGACTATGTCAGAAATATCAACCCCCCCCCCCTTTGTTGCCAATGGAGAATTTGCACGCACATTTTTTATCCTTTCATCCGAGAGTGCTGTAAGTGCTGATTTCGCAGTTTTTTTTCAAATTTTTTTCTGACGTGGGAAATGCTTGATAAATAGACTTAAAGGTGAGAAAATGCGCCGCCTAGTGACGTCATATGGCGGCATTTCCCATTTAAACGCATGTATTTTAGCAGAAACGGTTCTTTTGTCATATCTCCTTCAAGAATTGCTCAATTTATGAATCAAGGGTATCTTCATGTTCAGCTCACTCAGTAGATTTTTTAAAAACACTAAATTCATCAAATTTTAGACCCTTGCAAAATCTCCATTTTGACATTTCTTGGAAAACTTTTTGGAAAATGTATCAAAGTTAGGCTATATTTAAAATTTTTTGATACCTAATACAAGTGTTTAGTAAAAGTTTCACTTCGGGTTAAAACATATTTTTAATAATATAGACATGCAATTATTTGACTGTCCAGCGAAAAGATATGCCCAAATGTGCGCTAAAAATATATAGCACTGCTACAGCACCAAGATTAACTTTCAAGTCAATATAATAATCATGATAGAGATTACTCTCATTATAAGGTTTCAAATTAACCGGATCCAAATCAATGCTTCGAGGCCTCGTTAAATGAACAATTGTTTTGGAAGCTCTTGAAGAGTGGCTCGGATTGGCTGGGACCGGTAAATGACAAAGATTATTATCTGCCAAGCATTCCGTAACCAATGGTGAGTCCACGATGTAAGGGACGAGGAGAGAAAATAATTCATGATTGTACAATTAAATTGGGGTGCTTCAAAATAAAGTATGCAATGAGCTTACTGCATTGCATGTGTTTGCAATCGAAGCGTTGGGTGCCGAAAGGGCATCTCCCGGTTGCGGTGGTGCAGGATCTCTACAGTTAATTTATATGTATTCTAGGGAGGAAAGTATTGGATGAGTTTTCTGAAATTTTTATTTTTCAGCTTTATGAAATCATAAAGAAAATCCAGTAAAAGTTTTAACGAATTTTATGCATTTTATTTATTTATAGTGGATGGAACGTTAACGGAGATCCTGAGACATACCGCGACCAAGAAATGTCCTTTCTGAACCCAGAACTTCAATTCTCTCATTCTACATTATTAGAAGTCTACATGCCATATTCCACCGAGAAAAACGATTCCTATCATGAACATGAGGCCAAAATTAAGAAGCTATATTCCAGCAGAAAGTCCATGGAGCGAAGCCGTTTAGTTTCCCCTACAGTGAGGAGTGGTATGCAAAATCTCAGCAACACTTAATGGCGCATACCAGGTTTCCAATGTCCACTCTTCGAATGCTGATTGATCTGTACAAACAGCGCAATGTGGCAACAGAGCACGCGAGATAGCTGTGGAGGTCTCAAATCGTTGTTTTGATGGATGTCGGGTTTTTGGTGAGTTGGCGAGTTGGGTGGTGAGCTTGGAGCCGGCAACAGTAAACGATATAAAATAAGGAAGCGGTTGCTTGGACTTTTGAAAGGCTTCGAAAGTTGCACCAATTCAAGCTACTTTGTCTACTTTATACGGCTGCACCCCTCCTCAGATGTCAGATTGCTAGCAATTAATGCACTCAGCCCTGTGTTTTGGTATCATGAATTCACCATTTTCCTCGCAACAGATAATTCGCAATAGAGCAAAACTCGTGCGACTGTGGTTTCAAGAAACTGATAAACCAATTATGCAAATTTGAAATGCTCGTAAAAAATTAGTGAAAAAAAAACAAAAAAACTAGAAGACATACTAATTCTAGATATTCTGTTAAGTGCAATCAAAGAATAAGCTATTAGGAACAGTTTGCGCCGTTTTGAAGAAACGCAGCAATAAATTTCGAAGCAAACTGCATGTACCTCTCTCTTCCCGCACCTCTAATTCATTTTTGCACAGTGAAAACCAACTATGATGGTTAGTTTCGCCAAAAATTATACTTCACTAGTTGTTATCATTCATTTGTCCCTGTAAACACAAAGCCCTTCAGGTCGGGTTTGTCGTAGAGTACATAGAGTCGTAATGTGAATGGAAGAGCTGGCGCTATGTTCTGGTCGACGAGTTCCGAACCTGGTGTGCGCCGAGCTTCGGTCACTTTTTCGCTACACTCTCAATTAAAAATGGCTATGTAGAATTCGTAGTAATTCCTACTCTCTTTGTTTACGTCAGATGGCCAGGTCCTCGCGTATCGAAAACAATCAATTATGTATCGAAAAAATGGCCCGGCGTGACACAGGAGTCTCCGGGGCCTGGAAAATGCTTAAAAGTGGCGCCAGCTCTCCAGTCAAATTGAGATGCATTTGACTCTTAAGGATACTTCTAAGTAAAAGAGAAATACTTTGGGGTCCTGAAGTACAACTAACTCGGACTCAACTTGATCGAAAGTTAGCGAGAGAATCAGGCACTTTCCAGACACCCTCACTGAAAAAAAAAGATACGGGCTACATAAACATCCCGTCCGTTTCGGGCTCAGAGGCCGAAAGTTCCGGGTGCTGGAGCCGAAACTTCACGGAGAAAAAAACTTCGTGCGTAGGACCCGAGGTTGAGGTCATATAGATCTCTGAAGTTTTCGGATCATGTATCTAAAAACTTGAGGTCCAGTTGCCGAAGTTCGGGTCAGACATCTGATGCACATACTTCGATATATACCGAAGGGTTCGGGTCTCATATCTGAAGTGCTCCGGTACGTACCGAAGTGCCTCGATGTCTGACCCGAACTTCGGCAGCTCGACCTCAAGTTTTCGGAAGCGTGATCAGAAAACTTCAGAGATCCATATGACCTCAACTTCGGGTCCCATACACGAAGTTTTTTTCTCCGTGTTCGACTGCTTTAGCCCGTAAGTACGGCCCTCACGGCTGAAGTTCCTTTTTCAGTGCTGTATTGGGCCCCAAGAGCCCCATAAAATACCTAACTCCGAAGAGCCAATGAACCAATCAGAGAGCGCCACAGAAATGACAATCCTCTTCCTTATGGATACTCTACAAGGCGCCTCTGGAGTGGAGAAGTGGAGTGGACGCACGGCATGGGTCGGCACGGCATGGCGGCGTAAATTGGATTAGGGAAGTGTGAAATCGTTTGAACATTTGATTTTTATAAACCGCCGTGGTCTTCCT